AGAGAGAGAAAAAAAAGAGAAAAAAAAGGGAGAGTGATAAAGTGAGAGAGAAAGCAAATAGGATAAGTGTTTACTTTTAAAAATCAATTTCATCGGCCCGTTTTACAATACTGACAATGAACGCGCATCCTTTTCCTATTTATATTGTTTTAGATGTTCTAAACGAGCCTCCCTACCTACCACCGTCCACAAAACTAACTAACACTCCTGTTGTTTCTTCTCGTTACACTGTCATTGTGCCTGCCATTTGTTGTTGTTATCTCTCACCGCCTAGTTCCTTATCACCGCTACCATCTCACCATCGTGTTCACGAAGGATTCTGTCTCTTAATAATTCCATTCTCTCTGTTTACGTAGATCTCTCTTACGAATCATTTCTTTAAAAAAGAGATCACTCTCGTCGCGAAAGAGAAAAAAACGTTATGCACAAAAAAGAACAAACAAAAGATCTCGCAACGTTATTCCTTTATTTATTTGAAAAAAAAAAAAAAAGAAAAAAAAAGACAACAAAATCGGCTAATATATTTTTTTAACTATTATACTAAAATATTTTTATTTATTTATTTATTGTTATTATTATTATTATTATTATTGTAAATTGAATTTGGAATAAAACGCGTGAATGAATGCGTACAAAGGTAGATTTCGCGTTTTATAATTCGCACGAATTATTATATTCAGATATAATTTGACATTGTTTCATTTTTGCTATTATTATCTTCTTGTAAGGAAACCAAAAAAAAAAAAAAGAAGAAACAAAAAAACCAAGAAAAGTTCCAACGATTTGCTTCGTTTGAAAGCTTGCGAATCGAATCGAATCGAATATATATCTGTGTATAATAACGCGACTACCTGTTGAGATATAAAGAGACATTGTTAAACCGAGCGAAGATGTCCTGAAAAGTTGTGTCTGAAAAATATTTATAAATATTATATATACACATATATATATATGTTCTTTGTTATATCGCGTTAATTGTATAGTTGTTATATCAATCTGGCACTACTTTTATCACGCTAAACCAAAAATTATATATCAAAAAAAAAAAAAAAAGGAACGTTTATATATTAGAGAGCCAAATGACAGTGAGAACGAAAGAAATAAAGAAGACACTTTATAGTGTCTACATTTTTTTTTGGTGGATTTCATTTTAATGAACAAATAACTTCTCTTCTCTTTTTCGTCATGAAAACGTCACGCGTGCGTTTAAATATTAACAACAACAACAACAATAATATTAGAGGAATAGCGATGTGATCGAATAATATACGAAATACATAAACTTTCACTTTGAGATTACATTACGTATCACATAAAAACTATCTATATTGTTAGTCACTATGCAAATGGTAAAAGAAAAATAAAATAGGAAAATATGCAAAATCTTAGGGATTGTGTGAACTGTAGAGAATAAATTTATATTATTATAATAATATCTGCTTAAGAGAGAGAAAGAAAGAGAAAGAGAGAGAGAGAGAGAGAGAGAGAGAGGATATCTTCGTTCGTTCCCAACATCCAAGAACTTAATATGCGAAGATCGAAAAATTAACAAACAGAAAAGAAAAAGAATAATAATAATAAAAAAAATAAATAAAATAAAATAAAATAAAATAAAATACAAATGATTTCAATCGCTCGATCGCAAGCTGATATAAATACAAAATGTATTCCTATAAATCTCGTAAATATTTATAAGAATTGTTTTATGATACTTAACGCGTACGAATATGTAGTTAAGAAACGTTTCTCCTTCGTGTGTCTTTGTAGCTGATTATAATTATAGAAAAGAAAAAAGAAGAAAAGATTTGAAAAAAAAAAGATGAAGAGAGAGAGAGAGAGAGAGAGAGAGAGAGAGAATAATAACACTTCGTTGTCCCGAAAGAAATTCGTTTGTTCTTGTCTCTTGAACGAACGGATCCATTTGATTATATTATTATTATTATTATTATTATTATTATTATTATTATTATTATTATCTCACACTCTCGGCTTATTTTGTGATCAGATCTTTTCTCGCTTTTTGTAAATCTCTTTTACGAGCGCGTCCTGGTCTCGATTCTAGCTGGGGGTGTGATACCGAAGAGAATCAGGAAAGATGGTGTATAAGGGTGACCCGAAAGTCCTTAAATGGATTCTACTGATCAATTGATTTTTTCTGTTTTTTTTTCTTTATATTAATCTAACATTCTAATCGATTTGTGAAATCATTTAGGAACTTTTGGCTTACCTAAAGACATTTTTCCCATATCCTGTACTTATCGTTTTCCCAATATTTCTTTAGAGCTTGATTGATTGATTGATTGACTGACCGAAGTTAATAATCGTTATTAAAATCAAGAAGAAATAAATAAGAGAAACGGAAAAAGAAGAAGAAGAAGAAGAAGAAGAAGAAGAAGAAGAAGATGAAGATGATGATGAAGAAGAAGATAAAAAAAGAAGAATTTAAACGTAAAACGTATGCTGCCATATGCAAAAAAAAAAAAATAAAGATCAAACACATATATAATCGACAATTGTTTTGTTACATACGCAAACAACACAGCACACATACACACGTATACACGCACACACACACATCCACACAAAGTCTACTTAACATGCGACTTTAAAAATTATCTTCTGTGATTTTAAAGCTTCAAATGGAAGTTTAATTATAGTCGGCAGTGATAAATATGTCTGTTATCAGAAGATAATAAATAATCTAATTTAATTAGGCACACATTTGTGCTTGCCGATCTGAAGTGATAATATTATAATCGATTCTTAGTCATTAATATTTAAATTATGCTTTGTTAATATATGAAAAATAATTAGATTATCATGGACACTCGATGTGAAATAATTTCGTTTAAAAATACAAACAAGTACAACATATATGTATGTATACATGTATATATATATAATTGGCTTATTCAATGTCCATTTTCAAATACTAAGATTTCTTCCATCCAAATGGGACTCACATACTCGTTTCGAAAATAATCGAGTTTTTAACGGGCAACGAAGAAGAAGGGTACAACAATGCACGAAACTTTTTCGTTGTATGTATAATTCTGATATTTATTGTCAATCACTGATCGATCTCCTGCGAGACGCGTGTTTTTTTTTCTTCTGCGGTAATTAAGAAAAGAATATATATTTAATAATAGTTCAGCTTATATCGGCGCAAATAAGAAAGAGAGAGAGAGAGGGAGAGAGAGAGAGAGAGAGAGAGAGAGAGAAATGGTCGTGAAAAAGTAATAGAGAGAAGAAAAAAATAAGAAAGAAAAAAAACTCAAATGTTAGGATTATAATATAATGTACTTAAGATTAAAAAATAAATGAATAAAAATAAAACTAATACACATGAACACACACATGCAAAATATAGAAGAAGAGATGTGATGTGAATATAATAGACAACGTAACGTACATACATACATACATATATATATATACATAATGTCATACCAAAGATAAAACATACATAAAATTGTAGCTCTTACATATCCCCGTTAATTACTTAAATACTTATATAAGAACATCTTATAATAATAGGCAATATATCGACGAATTTCATTCCTAACAATAAGAGGGATTAATAATCGAAATTTTCTTCATTGAATACGATTTATGAATGTGTAAAACATTTTTATGTATATATATATATACGCCAGCCAGATTGATCATCTTTCTTTTTTTAAAAACAATATACATGCATAAATACACATATACATATATTCGTGCATATATGTGTAATCCTTGTGGGGGGAAGAAACTGGAGAAAAATTCATATTTTTGTGTAAAATCAACATTTGGACATTTCTTTGATGGAAGATATTGGCCAGGACGTGTGCTATTTATTATCAATTTAATTATTATTATTATTACGTTCATTGATTTTTTTCTAAATCATACTATTTAGATGTAAATCATTCATTAACGCAATATCAACGATCAATAATGATCTTTGAAAAAATAAATGCAAGTCGTTTTATTGAAATTATTCGAAAGAAAGGTATCTGAAGTAAGTAAATATGTATGTCATAGACATCTTCGTTGATTCACATATTCAATATTTATATTTAGATAGAGTTATTTTTTTTCTTTTTCTTTTTTTTATAATAACACATACAACGTTATTAAAAATAATAAATTATATATATGTGACCATTAAAGTATGATATTTAAAAATTGAAATTGAATGTTAAGTAGAAGAAAAATATTCTTCGATTTTGTTTCAATACCTGCCTATATTTACAATGACCATTCGTACTGTATATTGTAATAATTATTTAAAAAGAAAACCTACCCCTCATATTATTTTAACTCTTTGCATATAAGGGGCCATAGCCTTCGCTTGGACGAACCAGTAACTCGAAACTAACGAATTTTCCACATATTTGCTCAATTTCTTAAGATATTTGTTAAAAATTAAGCTCTGTAGTGTTGTTTTATGTGGTATTTTATAAAGCAAAATGGCAAATATCACCACATTACTATATCTGCTTTGGTATCCTTCGTTGAGAGCAAACCTTGCAATCCTAACAGGAGTTAGGATTAACGCAACGTGTTAACGTAACACGTAGCTTATCATTCAATTGGATTCCATCAAAACTATAGGTAATGTAAAGAAGCTCGGATTCTCATATCTGGTAAAGCAATACACCCATCATTTTTGTATTCTTTTAAATATACTTAGCAACTTTTACCCCGTATTTGTTCTTTATTTCTCTTCTTTCTTTCAATAAGGAAAATTACATTGACTACAATTTAAATAAAAATATGCCTAGAAAGATTTGTACTAAAAAGTTGAACTCTCGCCATTACCCCTACTACACTACTTGCGACAATTTGCTAGAAATTAGAATTATTATCTACTCGTGACTCTCGTTATTAGCATTTATAAAATATCCCTTTGATATTGTACATATATATATATATTTGGAGTGAATAATAAAATGAATCATTCCAAATCTTTTATTGTAAAATCCGTCATAAAATTGTTAAATAGACGGTAATATATGTTATCATTTATTCGTAAAATCAGAACTTTGAACATTGTTAGCATGTTTGGTTCACTTCTAATTACTGTGTTTAATGGCAGCCCTAATGTAACTAAACAATTTCATGTTAGGATATAATTTATAGAACGGAAAAGCTATCGAACACAAGAATAAAAAATCATCTTTATGCATAAAAAGTTAAATGGAAGACATGATTATTGCAATGTAAATTTGTATCGCGTTATGTTACACGGATATAGTTATATAATGAAAGCAATGAAAAATAGGTAAGTGTAAATATTTTGTTAATTTGATAAGTCAAATAAACGATTAATTGCTTGGAAATCCAGTAATTATAGGAACCGAACAAGCTAACTTATGTTGTTTTTCCAATAAAAAGATTACAATATTAGAATAATAGAAGATCAGAAACAGGCAAAATCGATTTAAATTTGAGATTGATTGTTACTTATAAATATTCTTCATATATATGGTCATATGAGTTATTTTAGTATAACGCAAATTTGGAAAAATGTGAAAAAACAAATTGATAAAAATAATCTAAAGAATGCGATAGTTTCTGTACTGTAAATATTATTGGAAATTGACATATTGATTTATTCGTAAAATTATCATTTCTTTTCTGACTTTGTTTATCCTACATTATCAGCACGTGCTTCTTATTATGCATTAAAACCAGGAAATGAAAGAATTTTTCAATGAGAAACATCAAAGACAATCCTTTGCAGATTCATCTTCTCCATAGGCTTCGGGCAAGGCAGTGGCTTGACCACATACTATATCAGAGATATTCAAAGTTTTGACTGGATTTCCAAAAGATTTAGCGCACACGTTCAAATCTCCACTAACTTCATTTTTTCCTGAAGGTTGTTGCCAACAAGATGGCATTTTAATCATGGATATATTGTCACCAGCAGTGCTGCTATTAGTAAAAGACGATACGGATGTTGCCGTTGAAGTTGATAATAAATTTCGTGTCTTATTAAGATCTACAAAATTTTCCTAAAGAAAGATAGAACAACAAATATAGATAAAAAATCAAACAATATTGGACGTTACTTCGCACGTGTGTTTAAATAAAACAAAGAATATACCTTCTCTGCGTTATAATCCATATTAATCGAATCAGGAATAATTGGATTTTGTGGCGTATTACCTGCTTGACTAGACTGTGCCAAAGCTATTAATGCTTTTTGACTTTCCCTTGCATCCACTAAGAATATACTTTCCTTAACATCTTTTGAATTATATACGTCCATTCTAAAACCAACCAACCAACAAACAAACAAATAAATAAACAAACGAAAATGTATTATTATTAATATCAGAGTAATTTTTAAACGAATATACTAGACATATTTCAATATACTAACTTATCATATATAACTGCGTGGAGACCAAGTTTTTTAAGGTGACGAATAGTATCTATATCATTATTATCATCGCCCCAACAGAAAATAATTAAACCAGCGTCTTTTACTAATTTGACTTGAGAAGGATCTCTAAGAATATCCTCGGTATGCACATTAATTCCTAAAATATCAGATGCCAATGCGTGTCTTATAGCCATTGGTATTGTTTGGCATCTGGGATCGTGATACGTTGGATACTTTGTAGTTACACCTTGAGTTAAAAATACTACTGGATATTTATTTTGTTTCAAACGTATCATAGCACAAATATCAGGGTTGAAGGAGGAAAAGACTATTTTCCTATCGCCTCCATATTCCAAAACAACTTTCAATATTATATCCAAATACATATTAAGATCGAATGGATGATTGAGCTCGAATGTACCATCCTATTGAAAATGACATATATGTTATTACTGTAGTAATACAAAATTATTTGGTTTATAAATATATCGAACCTTCAACTGCATAGTCCATTTAATTTCAATATTGAATCCAACATGTGACTCTAACTCGAGAAGTACACTTTGAAGGGTAGGAAATGGTTGATGGTCTTCTAGATCTTCATCAAAAAATCGAGCAATTTTTTCTCTACCTTCAGCCACGTGGTAAACCTATAAAAAATATATATATATATATTCGATATATAGATAGATATTCGTTGAGAAAACAATGTAATTTGATAGTAAGCTCTTGAAAGTGCTATTCTTTATTATTGAATTCGTGAGCCGAGCATCAAATGATTTGCAAAAAGATATTTGTTTGAAAGCATCATAACATACCCCTTGTAAGGTGGTAACATTGGTAACATGCTATGGTAAAAGTGGCTGTATTCCTATGAATGATTTTTATAAATATCATTTATATTTTAATGCACATTAAGAGGGGTGAAACTGGTGAATGGGTGATTATTCAAAAGCGATCGACTTAACGAAGTAACTCTATGAGCAATTGATTTTCCTAATGTTGTCGCCTTGACAATGAAAAAGATACTTTTATATATCTTTTAATGATTCCTATATAATAAAACTTTAAATATATTTCTTTGTTTATATTGACGACAGTAATTGATCTATATTAAAGAAGATGACGTATAAATTTGAAAGGGGGGAAAAAAGTTCAATATTGCCAAAATTCATTGTTTAATGATAATCATCATATAAGCATGCATCGAGTTATTAAGACATTTGACCAATTCATTTTTGGCAATAAGCCAAGTTGCAAAAGCGACATGAAAGCTCACCAGTTGGTTTACCCCCTGCTCACTTTTATCAACGAAATACAGCACCTTACCCAATGAGTCGCCCGGGTAATAAAAGTCCTGTTGAATATTAAAAATAGACAAACACGAACGGACATATCATATTAATGAATTTATAAATATGATAACTTATCAACTTATGGTTTTATATAACGCGCGCTTCTCTGGATTGACTGTTTGTTTTAAAAAATAATAATAGAAAGAAAGAAAGAAAGAAAGAAAGAAAGAAAAAAGAATAAATGCACATCGAAAGCAAAAAAATAAAAAGCATTAAAATTAAGCCGTATTCTGTAAATAGATGCTATATGAAAGTTAATGACGACGACGACGACGACATTTTATGTAATATTAGTTGAGTGTCTCGGACTGAATAGTCTGAAATAATAATACAAAGACGAATATATATTCCATATATTATGTTCCATTGATTATTTCAATGTCTTTTTTTTAATAGACATTTCATATTTGATTTATCTCTTGATGATATTTAAGTATAGATCATGAAATATATAACGACAAATTATTTCGTTATAACTGATAACGAACGACCTCCTACATTTTGAAGTATTATCTAATTATAATGAATGATAATATAAATGATATATAATGGAAATACCTTTAATAGATGAAGTTGTTCCAAAGTTAGTTCCTTCACTGGTATCTCTAGTGTGTCCATTGCTTCTATCTGTTTTTTACGTTTTAATGAAATTGATACATAAAAATCGTGGTATACAACTGGCACAAGATCTTTCGATAATTGAACATCAAATTCAACCATATCAGCACCGTGATGTGATGCTGTTTTTAAAGATGCTAATGTGTTTTCCCTTACGTTGGCACAACTGTCACCAAAAAAAGAAAATGTTTTTTAAATACATTCATATCATATCTTTTGACATACGTAATTATTGTATTAATACAAGTTGTATTATTCTTAAAATTATCAATCAACTTACTTTTTTGTTTCATATTTAAAAGAAGTGCCGAGTCCTCTATGGCCAACATCCAAACCGGACCATCTTTGTTCCCAATGCTTTGTATATGAAACACTCATATCCCATGGATAATTTGGGATTGGTTTTATTACTAAATATTCAATTGTTAATTGTCCTACAATGTAAATGTATTAAAATATTAATTAATTATATAGTTATTGAATTAATTTAATGAAATGATGAAATAAATTCTTTACCAATTGGTCTATGTCTTGTACTAGTAATCGGCACTGTCAGCATTCCTACACTAGATTGCAGTGTACTAGGCAAGATGTAACTGAATCCAATATGATTGGGTGGCTCACCAGGGAAACTCCTCGAACTGTATACGTAGTAGTCTACTAAATATGCCTGAAACAATATTCTATTTGATATATTTAACATAAAGGCGAGTGGGGGGGTGGGGGGAACGCGCGGTTATTGGTCACAAACCCCTATTATAACATTAAGCTTATTTTAATATTAAGAAATGACAGTGATCAAGGAGATTTGATTAACTTACTATTATGCATTTACCTGTTTACTGCATTAAGCAAATACATTGATATACTTTCAATTAAACGTTCTAATAACAACTAATATTGAAGATATCGATCCTTGATCACGCACAAGGTGTAGGAATTAAATTATATTTTTCTTCATAAATATTTGTGTTTGATATATTTAGTTTATATAATGGTAGAGCTATTTAATTGGATTGATTAATTATTGAGTCGTGCACGTAGAAGAAAATCTCAAGACATAATTTATTTCCTACATAATCTAGCAATGAACCAAAACAATAATTGCCGACTGCTGTACACTGCCTGGTGACGGAGGAAATTTCGCAATACCTGCCTATCACATTCATAGTTGAATTTAGAAAGAAAATATCTGCAAAATTTGTAATTCCGATTGAGAAGATATGGACAGCTTAGTTTGACATTGCCTGCGCAACAGCATCGCGGCGTACGGTACATTAGAGTTGGTCAGAGCTAGAAAATATTAGTAATACATCTAATATAGGATATAGAGGAGTAATGGGAATCTCACCATTTTCGACGCACACAGATGTTTATGAAATATGATAGCATTGACATCGGCAAAGCTTTTAAGGATTGACTTTTAAGGATTGGCTTTTAAGGATTGACGACTTTTTTCTAGGATAACTATGACTAACGTAAATCCGTAACGTAATAACGTAAAGTATTACCAAATTGTTTTATATTAATTAATAACTCTATTGCATAGAATTATAAAAAGAAATCATTGTAATTTGATAAAGAAGATTTACGAAAGACAATAGTCAAAGGATGGGAACGGATAGGTTAAACGACAATCAACACCATCATATCTCTGTGTGATGTCGTGTAACAATCATGAAGAAGTCTTGCTTTGTATAAGCAGAAGGATGTCTTCTGTCCATGATCACACCATGCGTTCTCGTTGGCAGATTCCAAGGAGGGTAATAACTGCTGAACAAGTTTAATTATCTTTTATCAAATAATATTTAATATATCACTATAGAAGATGTTGCCAGCCTACTGGTGGTTTACTGAAATTTTGGTCAATACTTATTCTTTAAATGTGTCTTTATCTAGATTATTTATGACTATTTGTGAATCACCATCGATCTGCTGCTATTAATTACTCTTACTCGATATATACATAGCTAATAAGTATAATTATGTATATTAATTTAAATCAAACGAACAAAATATATTGTTTAAGCAATAAATACCAGCCAATGGTTTATCACGTATTTATGCATCTATTGTTCTTCCATTTGAAAACTCAGTATTACAACTTACCACAGTTTCGGGATAACGAACTGCAACATTGAAGATAATAAAATCGTCTTCTACGTAAGCTCGACCAAATTGTTCCTGATATTTAAAGCGAATCTCTTCATCATTCATTACCTTTAATAAAGGATAATCCAAACAGTTATTATTGAATTTTGATATTTCATTATTGAAAAATAGAATAATATATACTTACAGCAATTTCTGTAATACTAAAAGCAGATTGATCAATGTCTTGAGTATCCATAGAAAGGCTGTCATCAATACATTCATTTCCAAACTGTTGTAATTCTAAAGAGTGCTGTCTAATTAAATTTACTGGAGTCATCTGCATTATAATAATGAAATTATTTCTTTTTCGACTAAATCTTATTTTATTTGACTTGACTTGACTTGATTTGATCTTATATGATTAGTTCAATGATAAATCCAAAATAAAATATAACAACTATACCTTAATGTGTACTACTTTATTTTGCAATCGCTGTTTCCATAATTTAATTGGATTATAAAAAAGTTTAAATTGTATCACAGTCTCATCCGTAAGCCAACCACGTTCAATTTTACAATAACCGTTGTAACAACCAAATATTTCTGAATTTGGCAATACGTTATCAACAAAGTTACTAGGCACTGGAAAACAACAAAATAATAAGTGTAAAAAGAAATCATACAAATATTGAATATATTTAATATTTTATAAACACATACGATTTTTCTTAATCTGACGAGGTATCATATGAGTTTCCCATTTGCGTATAATGAGAGTCTTGGCAGAATTTTTAGTACCATTGGATTGGCAAATAACAGCAATAAAATATCGATAGTCTATATCAGCATCAACGGGTAATGTAATCTTTTGAGAAAACATTTGTCCACTGAAATATTAATATTCTTACAAATAATCTTCAAATTGTAATTAGAAATAATCCAATGTAAATAACGCATAAGGCATGCATGTAGGCATGCACGTTACAACATGCTTTTAAAAAGATATGTAACAATATTTCACTATCACTTACTTATTTATTTCATTATAAACACCATCTCCTGCTTCTGCGCATGCATCAGCATCATAAAGTTCACATTTGTTTTTACCATCGGGAACATTTTGAGCCTTATATTCTTGAAACATTTGGATTGCCTGATTAGGATTCCATGAACCTAATTCAGGTAAATTTCCCACAACGTACAAGCATTCGTTTTTTTCCAAATCCGACACCTAAAGACATCATGATTTTATTTAGTAATATAATGTATATTTATAAAGCATTTATAAAGCATTTATAAAGCATTTATTAAATATATATATATATATAACATAATAATAAAATAAGAAAAATTTGCAATCACCTGTACTCTAAATACCCAGTCTCTCTTGGAACCCCTCATGTTGAATAAAATACTGTCAGATATTACGTGAATGGAAGTACCTTTGGATGCTGCCTCTAATAGTTAGACTTCCTGACCTTTGTTCTATATAAACCACATTCGCTGCACATTACTATTTTTATCTTCTTCTCAACATACTATTATTAACGTACTAAGCTTCCATTTATAATTTCATCTTTTTTCTAATTTTATCCCATATCTAGTAATACTATTGTCGAAAAAATCTCAACTAACCTTATTATATTAAAACAATACAGATAACAATATGATGTGAGTAAACAACCAATGATTCAGATCATTTACTTACATGGAACACGTGACGTATATAAAATATCCTACATAACATATTGCAGACGATGCAGAATTTGATATAGACGTATTAAATGAAAATAAATGTTACTTAAAGTAATAGAAAAATTGCACCGCAAAATTGAGTGAGTATAATCAAATCAATTCGATTTATAGGAAATTGCGGATAAAATTGAGACGAAAAAATAAAATGGGTACAAAGTCCATGATAAGAGAAATGTGAAAACAATATGTTGCTTAAGAAAAATATGTATTTTTTTTTTTTTTATATGTTATTTACCTCCGTAATAACCAAGAAATTTTCGATTGAATAATATTATTTGAACGTGTTTGGTTTAAAATAACTCGTGTTATTTAACAAAGTCCCAAAGTAGGCACCACATATTTTTTATCGAATATAACATAACTAAATATTTCCTGAACAACAAAGCGATACTGCTTTCGCTACACACAAATGTTTTTCACAGAAGAGATGGTCATAACTTAAACATAATTTAGCAACATGGCGTATATCCGGACAACAGCGCCACTCGGTATTCAAAGCCTACACTAATTTTGTAACAAGTAGGCGAGCATTTCAAATATTGTTCAAATATTATACGAATACTACGAATATTATTATTACTATTGTTAGCTTAGATAGATTATTTATCAATTCTACGATTAATTCTATTATTACATTTATTATTATTTTTTTCTTCTTCAATTCTTATTCTTTTTTTTTTTGCAGAAACTCATTTAGTTATTTAACATACTTATATATTACTAAATTGTCGAATAATGCTAGATCTTTATTTTTTTAATGTAAGGCCTTATGATAATATAATCTTAATTGACCTCACGTTTGTTTCTCGATTAGACCCCATTCTGAATTATATTATAACGTCTGTTATGTGATGTTACTTAAGGATTAATCATCATTTTTGGTAAAGAATTTGATCTCTCGTTATTCAAATATATAACATACATATAAATACTATTTATCAAATATTATTTTTGTATTTATAAGAATTTGTACTTTCACTTCTTTCTTTTTTTTTTTTTTTTTAAATGAATTTCTGAATTAAATTAATTAAATTAAATCTAATACATTAAGGAAATGGTCAAAGTTACACTAATATATAATTAATAGAAATTTATGAGTTTATTAATAAAAAAAAGTAAAAAAAATAAGGGTTATATTTACATTAGGATTATATTACAATATATCATTATATTGTTACTTCGATTTAGATTTCTCTGTTCTAATAACCGTTGACATTCCATCAATAAATCTTGTTGTAAATAATACATTGGCATTATTGAACATACCATCTTTCAAAGATACAACAATAAACTGTGAATGTTTAAAATGTCTCTTCAACATTTTACCTATATTTTCTGTATGAGAAAGATCTAAAGCTGCATCTACTTCATCTAAAATGTAAAGCGGTGCTGGTTTGAATAAAAGCATTGCTAATATTAAAGACAAAGCGACTAAGGATCTTTGACCACCAGACAACTCTCCCAACGATTCTTTCCAAACTCCAGAAAATCCAATTCTTATTTCTAATCCATCTGTAATTGTTTGATTTTCTGGAGGTACAAGCTTAGCATTACTTCCTGGCAACAAACTACTGAATATTGATCCAAAGTCTTTGTTTACCTAGAAAATAAATGTAATAATAATAATAATAATAATAATAATATATGAAAAATAGGAGTGCTAAGAAAAAAAGTACAAAAAAGTACAAAAAAACAAGTAAATATGATTATTGTAATATATATTGATTGATCTTATTATCAATCTTACTTGTAGCCAAGCTTTCTGAAGCGCCTCCTTTTTCTTTTTATCTAAATATTGGATTGTTTCAAGTATTTTTTTCTTGTCATTTTCAACTATTTTCTTCTTTTTCATCATGTCGTTATACTGTTCCTCTTCTTTATCCAAAAGATTAATTGCTCGCGTGTTGACATTACGTTTCAACTGTTTGCACTCTGTCCGCAATTGCTGTAATTTTTTATCTGTTTCTTCTGGGTGGTTAACTTTAAAATCATACATGCCACCTAGAAGAATATAATATATAAATATATTGTCTCTGTCTCTGATATTAATAAAGGATTATTTTTAACCTAGACATCATTGAAATTTGCAATACCTGGTTTTTCAAAATATTGCTTATCTTCTTCTATCCATGGATATTGTTTCTTTAAATCTTTAAGCTTATGTGCGCATTTTGAAGAAACGCCTATACATGAAGCTATTTGATGATTTAATGTTTTTATTTCCAATTCATCTTCTCCTTTTTGTTTGGTGATATTTTCTTTTTTTGTTTTTAACTTTTGCATCTCCTCGTTTTGTTTATTTATAATTTGCTTTCGTTCTTTAACTCGATCTTTTGAGCTTTTTACCTTGACATTAATTTCCTCGAGTTCTTTTGCAAAAGTATTTCCGATTTCATTGAGCTGAATTAATTTGTCTTCGATCTTAATTAATTGTTGTTTCTCCGTTTGGATAATTCCTCTTAACTCTTTTATTTCTAACTCGAGCGTTTGGAATTCTTTTTCACGTTTTTGCCACTCGGCACGACTTTTTTCAGCTTTCTTTTTTAAGCTCGTTAATAGATTCTCAGCTTCTTTCAATTGATTTTCGCGAATATTTACAACATCTTTCAATTGACATTCCAATTCTTTAGTCTTTATTAAATTATCTTTTTCTAAATTTCTAGCTGCATCTATACGTTCCATCAGATTGTCAATATTTGTCTTCAATAATTCTACCTACAGAAAGATGAAAGAACAATTATTTCATCATCTAGTTAATCATCCCTAATCTAAAGAAATATCTAATCCTATTTAATGTACCTCCTCCTTAGTTTTGTGATGCAGCGTTTGTTGTAATCGTTGTTGTATCATATTGATTTCATATTTTATTAAATCGTATTTATCTTTTAACAAGACATATTGTTCTCTTGCTTTTTCATTAGTTATTAGATCTTCATCGATCTTTAACAAATCTTGCTGTTTTTGTTTCAATAGATCTTTCATTTTATTATATTCTTCTATTTTAAGAAGAACAGATTCCGTTTTAGATGCTGCACCACCAGACAACGCACCGACAGGATCAAATATATCACCTTCCAGGGTTACACATTTTTTCATAATCTTTTTATGAAAAGCTATCTTTTCTGCAGTCTCCATATCTTTACATATAAAAATCTGACCAAATATCCAAGTCATCGCGGGTCTAATTTCTTCGGAAAAATCAATAAGCGACAAAGCTGGTTGAACTTTATCGGCGCCAACTAATTTTTCCGCTAATTCGATTATATGCCTATCCATAGTTCTTCCTTCTATTTTGTTAAGCGGAATAATCGTGATGCGTTGTTGCAACTGACCACGTTCCAATAATTTCATACCGTTATCTTCAGTATCGACTATTACATTGTACAGCTAAATAACAGTAACAATAAGTAATATTAATAACATTTTAGAAGTAAGTTTTTATTGATATCAAGTTTACAACAATATACCTTTGCTCCTGCAGCTAAGTCCAAAGCATACGCAGCATTTTTATTTTTAATCTTCAATGACGTACAGACCAGTCCCTTAACGGAATCCTCTTTAAAATTGAGATCTGGCTTTTTATAATAAAACCTAAGTCTAGGATATTGCTGTTCTAATAGATCTATTTTATCTTGCAAACATCTTATTTCATTATTAAACGTATGCTTATGAGCTTGGAGCTCTTCCAAACGATCTTTGTAATTAATCCGTGCTAATTGATCTTCCAAGTTCTTTAATATTTCTTCTTTCTTCTCGAGAACATTACTATCTTTTCTATATTCATCTTTCGTATTGCGCATATCTTTTAATTTAGTATTCAATTGAGTTTTAGCATGATCCAGATTCATTTGCAATTGCTGGAGCTCTGTTTGCGCTTGAGTCACATACTGTTTGGCATTTATCAACTGTTGCTCCAACGTTGCATTTTCACCATTCTCCGTTTGCAATAATCCTGAACTAATCTTTTGATAGTTTTCTTGGGCAGCCATTAAAGCTACAGAATCCTTTTCATCATTTTCTTTCAATTCCTTAAACAAACTTCCTACCTTTTCAAATTCTTTTTCTTTAACGAGCAATGTTTCCTCTTCATCGTTAATGTTTGCTTTCAATTCTTCTGCCGTCTTTTCTGTAGCTTTAATATCTTCTTTATTGCCATTGAATTTGGCTGTTATTTTAAATTGCTCTTTCTCCACGTCTTTTAATTCGTCCTCTAATTTTCCTAATTGTTCACTAAATTCCTAAATAAGAAAAAAAGAAAGAAAGAAAGAAATAAAGCAAAATGTCTAGATTGATATATGTAAGCGTGTATACATGAAAATATCAAAATATCAACAGACTTTTACTACTACAGATTTACTAACCGCGTTTTTGATCTTATACATTTCGTTCAATTTCATATCAATTTCTTCTATCTCCTTGTTCCCAATATTAATTCTTGTCATTTTTTCATTTATTTGATTTTTGGTAAGCTGCGTTTGCTCTTCTGCCTCATTATAACTTTTTGTAGTTTTAATGTACTCCCAAGCAATATTTAATCTGTTATAATGTTCTAATTCTCGTTGGACTCTTTGATATTCCATGTAATAAGACCTTTCCTCTTTAAGTTTATTCAACTTTGGTGCTATTTCTTGTTCCAGAACCTATGATGAAATAATACATTTTTTGCAAATTAATATATTTGAAAATAAAACCCGAAAATAGATTTAATAATTTCAGAGGGGCTTTTTAGCATACATACATTATTGATTTCTTTCAATTTATTTTCTTTTTTTTCAATAGTCTTAAGCGACATTTGTTTTTTAGTTTCATACATGCGTGTTCCTGATGCCTCCTCAATCATAGATAAAATTTCGAATGGTTTCATATTCAACACTTTGGTAATTCTGCCTTGCATTATTAAGAAATGAGGATTATTTACATTTAATTGTACAGAACAAAACAAATCTTGAACTCTTTTATTAGGCACGCTTAATCCATTAATCAAATATTTATTTTTCCCTCCGATAATAATTTGTCGTGTTATAACAAGTTCTTTGTGATGCTCATATCCGATAGGCGATGACTCACGATCACGATTATCGAATATTATTGTAACAGTAGCTTTCTGTATACCCGCTTGACCAGACTTGTATACTAGATCTTGTAAAGATGTAGCACGTACCTGTTGAATTATTATAATGTTATAATATAGAAACTATAATAAAACATTATTCAAAACTTTAAGAATAACAAAATTACATTTTTTTCCTTTTGTCATAATAGGAAAACCTCTAACATAATTAATTGATAATAATTGATAATAAATCCTTACCTGACTGAGATTTGTAATACCCAAAACAAAGCATATAGCGTCTAAAATATTTGATTTGCCGCTTCCATTAAATCCTGTGACAGCGTTGAATTCCTTGTCAAAGTTATTTATCTCTATTCTTTTACCGTAAGATTTAAAACCTTCTAATACCATAGATTTAATATACATTTTCAGATATAATTATTTATTATTTAAGTTAGAAAAATTGATTACATGAAAGAAAACAGTTTAAACCGTTAGCATAGTTTTAACAGTGTCTTAGATCTTATATTACCTAGATAGAAACTGAATAAACGCCTGCCATATTGATAAAATGGCGGCGCTAGTTTGTATACATATTCGGTCGGTGTATCTCGGTGCTAAACTGACATTTCTTAATTGTGTGTATTGTTTTACAGAATTATATTACTTTATATATGTTTTCGTTATTCTAGAGAAAAATAATTTTCGATTTTGTTTCAATGCCAAATTTACTATCTAGATTTTAAATGTAATACAAATTTTGCTTTGAAAATTAAAATTGATCTTTTAAAAAGGATACGATTGGTGCGCGATTAGAGCGCTACAAGTAAACACGACAGTAGCGTATTAATATTGTTCTCTTTTGACCACCCTCTTTGGACACTCTTAGGACGACACTCTTTGAAAGATGTGAATTCGACTGTGATTAGAAATGAATAGTGAATAATGATTATAGGTTAAAAAGAAAAACAAATATTTCTACAAACATTTCAAACGTCCTTTACGCATAATGGCTAGAATTGCAATAGAAAAATATTTACAAAAATGTAAATCCAATCATTTGGTATACATGTATGAATAATCTAGTTTTTTAAGTGATTAGTAATCATTTAAATAATACTTTTTTTTTCTTTTATATTTTTATCATATAGTTTTACGAGAGGGAAATGTTCTTAGAGCATTTAGATCAAATGTTTATCGACAAGAAATGTCAACGCAAGCTTCCACTATTATTAGGCAAGAAGAAACAAATGGTATGTTTATTTATCTATTTCTTATTTATATTGCGTGCATCATTTTGTCTATTTATTCATTAAAATGAATTTCATTTTGTAGACGAAACTAAATTCACCATTAATCCTCTGAAACATCCAGACTTTTTTCAAGTACACAATATTTTTACTGTCAAAGATTTATTTGACGCAATGGTACACTATGGTCACAAGGAAGGTACTTTACATAATAATATGCGTCCTTTTATATTTGGATCTAGATTAGGGCACTTGATAATAGATTTAAACCAAACGGCTGAACTCTTACGACAAGCATTGAATTTTGCTGCTCATATCGCATTTCAAGGTGGATTAATTTTATTTATTTCGAAAAATCCTGCAAGTACTTACATTGTAGAAAAAACAGCTAAGGAGTGTCAAGAATATGCGCATACTAGAAACTGGAAAACTGGAACATTTACTAATTCTGTTAGAATGTTTAAATTGGAAACTAGATTACCCGATCTCTGTATATTTATTCACACTCTTGACAATGTAGTCGCACCGCATCCTGCAATCATTCAAGCAGCAAAAATGTGTATACCTACAATTGGTATTGTTGATACAAATTGTAATCCTAATCTTATAACGTACCCAATTCCTGGTAACGATGACACACCCAGTGCTATTGAACTTTATTGTAAACTTTTATCCGCGGCAATACTGCGTGGTAAAAATGCTAGGAAAACTATTTTACAAAAGTCATCGAATAGCAAAGAATCTATCGAATAGCAATTGTTAATGTTTCATATGTAAAAATGTAAAATACAATTCTCTCTTCAATATATCATCTCTCATTTATTGCACGATTTTTTTTTTTTTTTTTTTTTTTTTTACGAAGATGTAATCTTTTGATTATTACCAGCCACATTATACGAGTTAAAGAAAAAATGGATGCAAAAAGAAAACAGGCTTCTTAAAATTAATTTGAATTATAGTTTATTATTATTTTTAATTTATCAATCACTCAATGTAGTATTCAGTATTTAAATATACATATATAAAATTATTATTGTCGATATCATCCCACGTTATCCCACGTTAACAACTTTCTTGCATATTGCAGAGATATGCAGAGATACGCAATTTTCCAATGGAAATTTTCATTCAATTTTATTCGAATTTTTAGCATCTCGTAGCTTCATTAAGAATCGTTTGCCCACAAACTTGAATACAATCCTAAATGTATACGAGTATAAATACGAGTATACTTGAATGAAAAATTACTGAAAATAACAATTAAAATATATATTTTGTTACATACCATGAGGTTATATTTGGATAATATTTTAATAGATATGTTAAGAATAATACAGATGAATGTGAAATCCATGCTTCGGAAACTTCATTTGCAATCGCTATTGCTGATAATGTAGCACAACGACTGGCACTAATTTTATTATCAGCCTTATCTGTTTCTATTCCAAATTTCTTCAAAATGATATAATATTATCTAGTTATTGCTAAGAAAATAAACGAAATTGCTAAATTTAGTAAGAAATAACAAAATCACCTGTCTTGGTTTCTCTGTAAAAGCTTCCTGCAAAAAGTTTGTTTGAACCGGCCCAGGACATATCATAGTTATAGAAGGAAAATTCTGTCCTATTTGTTCTACTCTAAAGGAATTAAAGTAACCCTAAAAGAAATCAAATAAAATATACGATCAACACAAATAATACATTAATAGAAAATAAATGTTTTTTTTCCGACATAAAAATACTAACATGCAAAGCATGCTTGCTACCAGTATAACTTGATGAGTAAGGAGCTGGAAATAATCCACATATACTAGATACAACTGCAATCTGGCCGAGATTATTTTGTAAGAAATATTTAATGGCTATTCGAGATAATGATAAATGCGAAAATACATTCAACTCGAAGACCTCTCTATCTACATCGATATTAATGTTTTCCCATTTTGCCCTTTGACTTCGCCCAGCATTATTTACCAGTATGTCAAGCTGAAAATAATTTGTTATTAGAATTTTACTTAGATTGCATATTATATCGACTTTTTAGCAATAAACAATAGGTAATACAAGGGGTAAGATATAATCATCAAAATCCTTGCCGCCATATACCTTGCCGAATTTGTTAATAACCGTATCAAATGCTTCCTGATGTAAGTTAATATTAGAAATATCTAATGGAAGAACTAACACATCATCATCTTTCAAATGAGCATTTCCTAGAAGAAAATATTATTGAAAATTCTTGAGAATACAGAATATATTTATTTTTCTTATTTAATAAGATACTTAATCATTACTATCCATAATATATAAAAGCAACTAGTAACATTATTTGTACCTTCCAAACAAGCTTTCTTAACATTTTGCAACAGCAACTCCCTCCTGGCAGACAATATTAATTTACATCCAGCTTTTGCTAATACGTACGCCAAGTGTTCTCCAATTCCACTGGAGGCACCAGTTATCCACACAACTTTACCCTTTAACGAACCTATGGAATGAATAATAATTAGATACTAAATTTGCATTGATATTTAACGATACATTCAATGAAAGTTATAATGCTAGCTATAATGCTAGCTATAATGCTAGCTAATGGCAACTATTTATAGTTCTCTTCTCTCTATATTCTTATTTAAACTTACTTATAGGTTTTCCAAATTTTTCTAAAAAAGCAAGTTGCATATTACAATCCGAAAACCAGGGATAAATCAAATGTAGGAGAACAATAAAGATACTGATGAGTCCAATAAATGCTAAGAGATCCATTTTTTTAAGTAACTAAAAACGATTATAAAAAGTTGGATAAGTAAGTAATCACTTATTATACTTGTCTTTATATAAGTAGGTGATAAACATATGATATTAGGTCAACCGGAAATTTCTGTTCATTCTGACAAATACCGGTTCAATTTTTTATCACTCGGGATATGAAGACATTTAAAAAACATGCAATATACAAACTGTCATCAAGCTGTTATAAGAAATTATAAATAATGATAAAGAGATGTGAAAATTTTTTACTTTTGTTTTATTCTAAAAATAGATAGAGAATTTTCAGGTAAACTAGTGGTTCCCAAAATGGGCGATAAAGCGGTCCAAGGGGACAGACGATGACGACCACAGCTGAAAACTGCAACTTTGTGTGCGGTAAATTAAAAAAAATTAAAAAAAGGTCATGAGTATAATAGCAATACATAATTTTTTTCATTTATAAGTTACTAAAACAAAGGGGGCCATAAGCAATATTTTTTCAGGAAAGGGAGCGATAGGACAACAAAATTTTGATAACCACTGCGGTAGACCTAATATTTTACTTTTTCATTTAATCATGTATTGCTAAGTCATAATAATTATTCCCAATTGATATTATATCACGCGTAACTATATATATATATATATATACACGTAATAATACGTTAAACGTAAAATTCATATTAATAATTCACATTAAATTATTAATCAGTACTTACATCCTCAATATTTACGACGCAATTCACGAAAAAATCCAACTATTTATGATAAAAAGAAAAAACCCTATGTACAAAATTTGCACCCACAAAATTTCCCTTTATTTAATTAGCACTTAATGCGAATTTTCTTACTATTTAAAAAATTACTATACGAAAACGATAACCTTTTAAGTGATTATGAAGGGGATTAAGAGCATTTGTGCGAATGACAAAGATAGAGAGACATCTTCCATGAAATACTTTAAAACGAAGAAATTCTTTCTTTTTCGCTTTATTGTTTTCCAGTTATTTTAATTTAAAAAGAAAAGAAATTAGTTCAATATAATGATCATCTTACTATAAAACTATGATAAACTATGTATTTCAATGACAATATTGTATAACAGAAAGTAGAGTATTATTTTATTCCAGAGTATTTGGAAGATAAAGTAATCAGAAATAAATTTATTTGTTATATGTGCATAAAGTATTTCTATACAGATCAATTTCAAATAAAATCTTGTCAAATTGTAGTTTATTAACTAATTTTTTATAAACGATCAATTTATACATACTCTTGAAAGTCTCTACAACGGATGTAATGAAACAATTCATTATTTTGTTGAATAAATTATAAAATTGACAAAGAAAAAGACAAAAATTGGCAGAAATATACGATAAGATGAATTTATATTGATCGTTTGTAACAAATTATTTATTGAAAAAACATTTTATTTCAAATTGATCGATTTAGAAATACTTTATGCGCCCACTGTATGTATATATTATTAACTCTTTCACTCTTTCACTACGGTTCACTTGCCGTGAAACCGAAACAATTTATGCCTATATTACATTTGTTCAAAATCAATTAAAAACAAATTAAAAAATGAGCAAAATAACAAAAAAAATTACACAAGGGTGATGGTCAAACGGTATCACGTTGTCGAATTTTATAGCCGATGCTTGTACACACAGAGACAAAGCTCTTAGCAAAATGGTTAAAATAGACTAACAATCTATTTTTTTTATCAAAATGTGTAAAGTATGTTATCACTATGATAAAAAAAACCATAAAAAAATAGTTAATATTTCATTATATAGGTAAGTCGATAAGAAATACTAATAACATGCTTTTGTCTATTTGACTATTGGGAAACCTTCCCTGTAGGTATATATATATATATATATATATATATATATAAATTAGATTTATCAGAGTATAATATATACAAAGAATAATTTATTTGTAAACGCATACACTCGTTTGGTGCAATAATTAAATAATTCACACACCAAAATTGATTTAATTAACCATATATATGAGATATAATACATTTGATTCTACAAAAATAGAAAATTTCTGACAACTGTTACTTTTGTATATTTTGTCTTAATTAAAAATTCAATGAATTAAAATGAGCAATATATTAGGAAAGATATTATATATATATATATATATATATATATATATATATATATACTCTGACTGTGTGTAACATATAGGCATAAAGCATAAAGAAGACAACAATAAAAGAACGACTATGATTGTGTTGCAACCGAAGAAGTTTTTGTTTTCTTTTTCGTATAAAAAAATACAAGTTTTTTTATTTTACATATTAAGTTTGAAATACTTAGTTATATTCTTTAATTAATCTCATTCTAAATGAATAATCCGAATATCCAAACTAGATATTTCGAAAAAGTGATCATAAAATCATAAATGCATATTTTATTGGCTGGTATTATTTTATCAACAAAAATAAGATATCTTTTTTCATTTGATAAGCCAATGAAAATATATGTTCAAAGAGGACGTGGACTAAAATATCTCTTCTATTTTTATATAAATAATCCTGTAATATATTTTTTGATAGAAAACAACTAGAAAATAAAAATGCTGTAGGATATTTTATGATGAATGCTTCTCTTCCTTCTACTGATTTACTTAAAAAACTCTGTCTTGATATCCACTATCAGCCATACTTGAACTGGGTTTTGCTGGACCCCCTGGTACTTGATGATGAGGATGTCGCATATGGCCAGGCCTCCTTGGCGGCGCTAAATATTCAAACATGCTTTGCGTATGTTGCGCCAACATTTTACTTAGATCGCAAGGCATTGGATCTGTCCAGAAAAAGTCATGATTTAATGCAGAATCTGAATCAAATCTTTTACTAGGATCTAGGATCAGAAGTTTGTCCAACAAATCGCAAGCGTAGGGATCTTTCAAATATGGCTTTAGTCTGTCTTTAACCTAAGAATAAATCAAAATATTAATTAAATCATCAATCTTTCAAATGAAACCTTTCAATTAAACATATTTCATTATTTTGTTTTGTTTTGTTTTGTTTTTTCATCGTCATGCATACTTTTCTTTTTTGACCCTTCGGCAGATCCATTTTGTTAAATAATTCCAAACGTTCTACACCTGGCCAAACCTCTGTCGTTATAGAACCACACAATTGTGAAATTAATATCAATTGTTGTTGCTCTGTATTTCCTTGCATTATAGGTGATCTAAAAATAATTGATTAGCAATAAAAAGAGTCGAACTGATAGAATATAGATAATAGAAAAGATAGAAAAAGGAATAATAGAAGATCTTATAATTATTACTAGTCATTCTTTCTTATTTCTTAACTTTTTCATTTCATTCATTAAAATACATACCTTGTCCACATTTCAGCCATTATACATCCAGCACCCCATAAATCTACCGGTGGACCATAATTTCTATCTCCCAACAGTAATTCTGGTGGCCTATACCAAAGAGTAACGACTCTATTTGTGTAACGATTTGGTTGACCATTCTTATTAGCACTAAATGCTCTTGCTAAACCAAAATCAGCTAGCTTCAATATGCCATTCTTTGTTATTAGAACATTAGCAGCCTTCATATCTCTATGTAAAATCTGGAGGGAGATGAACCATGAATTTCTCATCATTCCATTTATCCGTAATATACAATGATGCATATAATGATACATTTTTTAATGAATAAAATAAACCTTAGCTTACCTTATTACTGTGAATATAATAAAGACCATTCAACAATTGTTGCATAACCTTCTTAATTTCTCCTAAACTGAATTTAACATTAACATTGGACAATAAACCGGCTAGATCGTGCTCGCAAAAGTCGAATACAAGGTAAAAAGTGGAGCGGTATCGGTTATACTGTGTTGCTGTAAAAACAAGTTCAAATAAATAATTTCTTATTAAAGATTCTAAGCAAATGTTAAGTTAAGTTTTTTAAGTCTAAATCAATTTTCTGATCATCCTATCTAAAAAAAAGTCACAGTTGAGCCTCAAACAACTTTAACATTTGCGTTTAAAAAGGAATTCAATAATAATATCTTTTGCAATATCTTGAAATTTTCTAACTGCTTTTCAAATTGGAAATAATCCGATTTTATATCTCATTTCAATTTCAGCATAAAACTGAAATTGCCTGAATTATGCGTAAAATATGGAATAAAAATGGTAATGGAAAAATGGTTTCTTACCCCTTGTTCTACAAATTTCTATAAGACTCACTACATTTTCGTGTTTTAATAATTGTAATATCCTTATTTCTCTTAGCGCAGTTATAGGAAACTAAAAGAAAAAAGAAAGAAAAGATGGAATATCAATTATATACAATTACAAAATAGCAAATGTATAATAATGTAATGACATTTATAATATATATATATATACATACCCCTTCCTTTTCGTTATCCATTAGAACTTTTTTCATAGCAACAAACTTTTTACTAGTTTTTTTATCCCTTGCTTTGAATACCTCCCTATAATTGAAAAAACAAAATTTGGTTATTTTTCTTTTGGTTTCTTACACATCTCTAAACATTGAAATAATAAACTGAATAAACCACCTTACCCGAACGTGCCCTGACCAATTTTGGCGACTTTTTCATATTTCGATGATTCGTCGCAATGAGGAAAATCAAATTCCTCGATATATTTTTCTTTTTCTTTTGTATTCATATTTTATTGTTGATTAAAGAAGAAAAATGTAGCAACTTGCACCGACCACTATAATGCGTTTTAGGATGAGCAGTCCCGACAAATGTCTTTGTTAAATAGAAAGAAAACTCTCAAATGTTCTTAAACTCTTAATAACTTAACTATTTTCAGCAATTATAAACATATTTTTAAAACTGTTTCTTGCCCTGAATCATTGTTGTCTTTCAATTTTTCGTACTTAACCACGAAGAATGGATACCAGGAGTCCGAACGTAATGTTGAAAGAATAGTATCAATTTAGGGGACAAGATATTTTGCCGCTAGGGCGCGCTGCTTTTCACAGAGTACTCGTTTAAATACTTACGCAGGAAGTCTTGTTGCTCTATTGACAGCTCTGAAAAAAAATATTTTAAGAAACGTGGAATTAATATTATTTAAAAACTACACAAATGTAATAATCAATTATTTATTAACATAACATTTTAAATATTATTTTGAGATTACTCACTTTTGGTGTTTTGAATAAAGCCACTTTTCCTAAATTCTCACTTGCCTTTCGGCCACTAAGGCAACCATAAACGGCACAACACTTTCCCATTTTTTAATAAAAATAATTCTAAAAAAATAAATTAATTTTTTTATATTTAATATACGTGTAATAATAATAATAGTATCGGTACGCTCTGAATACTTGCGCAGCCAATAGCAAAAAAGAGAACTATGATCTGGGTCAAGAAATGACTACCACAAAAAATGTGAAAAATCCTACATCGTTCGGACTCCTAGTATTTATCCTCCGTGTACTTAACGATAGATGAAGCCAGGAGTATCAGATAGGTGGCAAGTTTTAAAACATAACCTTTTTACTGTATGTAATCCTAGGGACCCTATAGGAGGGACGCGCCATGTACATTACTGGGGGACAGAAACTCGTGTAGTCACGTGATTGCGCGCGAATGATTCAACTAACCACAGCCGTTAATACATACTAAAGATAAACATGGCTGCGCATAATGCAACGGAGCTGTCCCCCCACATTTTCAGCCTAGCAATGTACATGGCGCGTCCCTCCTACAGGGTCCTTATATAATCCTTGACTAGTCTTCCATCTAGCGGAAACAAATCCAACTGGGAACTGCGCAATCGTCCCTTCGCGCATCCTAGCTTTCGATCTTTCATTGTTCCATGTTAATCGCTCAATTTATCTCACAACTTGCTTTTATAATCGCGCATTTCTTCATTATTTAATTGTACAAGCTCGCTTTTATATCCGTCACACATGCATATATAGATAAAAGATCACAAGAAGAACTACCGTAAATTTAAATAATTCACTTCTATTAAAGAAGAACAAAATTATAGCGTATGTTGAGTAGTAACATACGGTATAGTAATTACTAACGGCATCCATAGGTGGGATATCCTTTATAGGGATCGTAATATTGTTGACGGACGTACAACGTATGAATGTATTATTATTTAAATAGGCACGTCATTTTGACGCATTTTGAATTTTACGAGGACATTTGAAAAAAAAAAACGTTCGTATTTGAAAAACTTGCGAATGATAATACGTATGTGCAATTTTTCGTGTATATTACAACCAGTGTTTTCTATTCATAAATAATGGTATTTATTTAAAATCACAAATCGTTGAAACTGTAAAACCTTGAATGTCTAGTCTACCGCTAGACATGTCTTTTCGAATAGTATTATACTTTAATTAAACTATAAATAAACAAGATATATTTAGATATTTTAGATTTAAATGTCTTCGTGAGATATGAACAAATCTAATATATGTTTCATAGAGTAACTCAAACGAGTTTTTTTTATTTCTAGTCATATACTTTATTCGATCACCCTTGATTTCACTTTAGTTCATTAGAAAATTGATTCACAGTTCATCACATTGACTTCCTTTATTAAATGAACGTGACTTTTTACTTTTCCTAAATATTTTCAAAATATAAGTGTTCCTGAAATGATAAATATTGATGAAATATAATAAATGTATAAAATGAAAAATTGAAGAGTCTTAATGTACATTTAGAAGGTACCATTAGAAAAGATGCACCGAGTAATAAACTTTTTAATTTTATGTCAAGATCTAACGGGAAAGTAAGTAAAAAAGTGTAATCATGAATCGTGTTATTCCACTGGTGCATTAAAGACGCTATTTGATGTGAACCGTCGATCGAGATAATCTGTAAAAAAAAGAAAAACAAAGAAAAAAAAGCCTTTCATGCTTACATTAAAAATCTCCACGACGTTTATCATAAGATAAACAACGCATTAGACATTGCTTGTAACATGAATCAATTTTGGTCAATGTTAAACATTGCAAAATGTTCTTCGATAGTTGAAATATTGCTTGCATATTGTATATATTATAAATAAAATAACGGTTCAACAAAAGTCATCATTTTTCTTTATTTCCATAATTGTTTCCAATACAGAAATGATATTTTGCATCAGGATAACATTGACTGAATTGACTGAATTGACTAAATTGATAAATATTCTTTTTACCTGAAATTGTGATTCCTTGTACATGCAGCAACTGCTTACATTAGGACCATATATATAGCACAAAGGTTTTCGTGATGCATCGTAAACGGTAAAACTTGGTCCCAATATAGAGAAATTTTGTTCTACACTCCCAATTAAAATCGTACTCTCTATTGTCATTTTCTATAGTAATAAAGACAAAGTTATTCAGAGAAAAGAATCCATTCTCATTTCGTGAATGAATGAACGTAACATACATGCACTGGTCCAGGCATATATTTCCATACAGGATTTTTCTTAATAACAAACGCCGTTTCTCCAGCTTGGTCTAAAAGAATCAATGTCAAATTTGCTATTCTATTTATATCTTTGTTATCTGCTCGAGATTCCATTGCTAAAAAAATCGTTTCAGCTTTTGGTACTTTTACTCTATATTGCTTTTTAGTTCCAGATAATCCAAGTACTAGAAAGCATTGTCAAAGTCAAAGAAAATTAATTTTCAGGTAAAAAGGAAAATGCAAAATACACGATACGATACGACACACGACACACGACATACAGGTTGGTTCAAATTAACTAGCAATAACTTTAAAACTTTATGAATTTTCATTGCTTTTCCTTTGAAATTTCTTTTTTTTTTATTAATTAAAAGCATAAATAGAAAACTATATTTAAATGATAATATATAATTATTATCTTTATCTTTATAATAATTCCAAACTCTCAATGGAAATTTTTCCCAGACAATTTTGATTAGACCTTTTGGTTTGATCTTCAAAATTTCACGATGCGATTTATCGCAAATTTCTTGTTGACATTAAATAACTTTTAAAAAGTGTCTTAAGTTATTGCCAGATTCTTATAGATTTTCCAACCTTTATGCGTATACGATAGATTAGATCTTTCAAAAGATACTGTAATACATTTCGATATATAGATATTTTAAATGGCAATGTTTTATTTCTTTCCTATAAGTTATAACATTTATTTATAAGAAAAAAATGTAAGATGAATAAAATGTTTATGATTACAAATGATATGCGTGTATATGACACGATCATAATAAAAACTCGTTGAAAGACCTTCGTATCTTATATCGTGTTTAAAAAATAACAATAAAAACGAAATTTACAGCCGTTCAAATTGATTATCCTTTGAATTTCTAATTGTTCAACCCCGGCTAGGAAATGCGTTCCTGAGAGTGCAGTTAATTGAGATCTGGGTGTTGAGACCCAATCTGTAGTAGATATTGGTATTGGTCTTCTGCTCGAGTTATTTTCACCTAACAAGTATAACATTTTAGAAAATATTTCTTATTCTCGTATTATCAAATATGTTGCAAAGCTTTTGATCAAGTGTTATTAGACGTTGACAGGTGTTACCTTAAATACAATAAATGTTTGCATTGATGTAGGAAAAAATAGCACGTGTTTTAACGTTTTTATCACATTGTCACATGCAAATTGATGTGACATGCATCGCAACGTGTCTCACATCATGTCCTTATACATACATGGGTAGAAAGACCCTTGTCTTTCTAAGCGGACAAAAGGAAACGCGAGGTGAGTATATAATGTTTACGATTAACACGAATAATTTGTAAAATATTATTATTTTACAGCGTATGTTTTATAGCGTTTCATAAGAAATAAAGTAAATGGAAATAAAATAAAATAAAATAAAATGAAAACAAACAAACGAACAAACAAACAAGCGTGTTATTTGTTCTCATTACCATATGGAGGCAATCTGATGCAGTAGGTTTCATGAAATCAAGGTGCACGTCTTCGCAACGTGTTTCAACGTATATATAAGTAAGTATAAGGAAACGAATAAACAAGAACAATGCAATATGTACCCATTTACATGTATATTATAAACGTACCTCGCGGTTGCACCGTAATTACAATCGGGCCTTCATAAACCGCTGGTATACTAGACGTTTCTTTCTCCTCTAATTCCATATTTCTATTTGTTACACGAATTAAACTCTTAATGCAATCAAGTCAAGTCTACATAGTCGATCTACAATTATATTATATCAAATGTATTGAGTATACGCTATTCTTAACAATATTTATACTAAGTAATTATTTATGTGCGTATTTGACGTTTAACATTTGTTCCTTTTGTTAAAAGTCAAATTTTAAGCTTCTATTTTAAGCTTCTTTTATTTTTACTTTTTCATAGAGATGAAACAAACAATTTAATTATAATTTGATCACTATCATATTAATACTGCCGTTGAAAATGTTTTTTCTCTGCCCTCAGTTGTGCGTTATCCTTTTATCTTTGATAAAATAACAACTCATCGTAGCAACGGATAAGCACTATCATCTTTTATCTACGTTATCCGCTTACTTTTATATTTATATAAAAATCTCCTATACGCGATCTAAAGGCAAATTAAATGATAGGAAATACTAAGAAAAGATTGATTTATTAGACGTTAGAAAATGATTAACAATAAAATACATCTCATTGAGAATAGCAGTGCCCAAAATTACGTCTATACTATTTTCAGTATAGACTTCAGTATATAATGTTCTAAAAGACAATAGGATTTGATGTTTTTATGTGTTTCTTTGTTATAACATGTATTATGCTTCTCGTTCTTATGGGAATGGGAAATGTCATTGCCAGTTAAGAAATTAATTCTAATATACGTGAAATTTCATTTAGATGAATATATGTTTGTTATTTAATGAATATAAATGTAATATGTACACAAGTACCTACCCAAAATGTGTCCTTCATTTTAAAAATGAACCTGAAATATGTACGCAATATCTATGGAATTTGAAGTACGTGCGCGATGCTTTACGTATTCGTTTAAATAGAGGTGAGGTGTTATTCGATCAAATGTAAAGGATGATGAAACCAGAGAAATGAGATAGAAGAAAAATTGCTTTTCAACAGCTTAAAAAAAAAAAAAAAACCATTTACCGTGGAAGAGAAAGTTTCAAGAATTACAATTAAAACAAATGTATTATCAAAAATAATGTATCAAATCGATATATTGGATTAGACAATATGTCGGAATTTATAATCATTTATAGAGACATAATTATAATTAAACAGACAAGTCGTGACGAATTCACTGCGTTCACTAAATGCGTTGGTCTTTCAATGTCATTTAAGGTCATTTATTACAGTTCAAAACTTATCTTTATTTAACGTTTAGTAATTATTATTTGTATTGCCCTGTATACAAAGTCGACGAGTTCAGTCGATCGATACAGTCATTTACCCAATCCTCTTGGAAAGTCTGTAGAACTGTAGAATTTGTATAAACTTTTTATGTTAGAGAGAGAGTCCATCTATTTTACAGAGTAATGTATTAAGATAATAAAAAGAAACCAAAAAAATATCAATAATGAAGATCAGAAAAAGATAATAATATCGTTTAGATCAACTAGTTTATTATATTAAATAATTAATAATTTCCATAAATGCTGTCAGACTGGAGATAAAATTCCAACTCAAACAAAGCAGTTATTATATTCAATTAATACGTACAAAATAGGTGAGAAAAAATGAATGTAATCGTTAAAGACAATATAATATTAATAATAACGTACGTAGTCGACTACTCTTTTAAGTAGAACTACTATGTTGTATTTTATTTACAGGTAGATATGTTTACCATTTAATCAGAGAAAATATATTATTTCGAATAAAAAAGTAAATGCTCGTATCATTTTCTCTGCTCGGTATGTTTCTTCAGGCACACCCTACACGCTTTTACTTGTTGCTGCTGAACGGCACAACTCAGAGGGTTCCATGCGCGATTCTATCGATCCTCATCAAGAGGCTCCTATATAAAAGCTCCTGCCATTGCTAAAGGTTGAACAGAAAACGAATTTCATGTTTCGAGAAACTACCGTGTACGAAAGAATACGAGAGAAAGCAAGAGAGAAAGAGAGAGAGAAAGAGAGAGAGACAGAGAAAGAGAAAGAGAAAGAGAAAGAGAGAAAGAGAAAGAGAGCGAAAGAAAGAGAGAAAGAGACCCACGCACACACTCACACACACACACACAGACATAAATATTAAAAGGACATTTAACACGATTGCATAGTTTACGATGCGTGTCATGCGGATAAATTGTTAAAAAAAAAAGAGGCTAAGAGGGGTAAGAGGGGTAAGAAAGGGCGAGAGGGACGAGAAAGAGATAACAGTAAGTGAAATGATCGAAATACGATTTCAATTTATATTGTCTTTATCATGTCAGCACGCTTTTTCTTCTTCTTCTTCTTCTTCTTCGTTTCTGTCTCCTTCTCCTCTTTCTCATTAAAGTGTATTCATTCATTTCAATAAGCATAGTTCGCGGGCATAGTTAATTTTTGTTCCAACATCATTGACTATTTGACTGCTCTGTTTTCGTTTATATTTATTAACAAACTTTCGTCATAAATCTTACGCATCCATCTGTTAGCGTAAATATCATTATGTTACGCTAATGCATGCGGCTCAAGTTGAACATTTGAAAGATGAAAGATAGAACAAAATTACATTTATTTGTCATTCTAACGATGAAACATCGGTTGATCGATTGTTCTATTATTAGTTCATTATATTCAGTTTATCATGTGAGATTTTTGACAACGATAATCAACGATATTATACGTTAATGAACAAAAATATTAACGTATTTTTGATCTTGAATAATTAGCGCATTTTATCGATTTCACCTTAGGCAAATAAGTATAGGTAGTTCGATGACGTAAACAGAAGAATTAAAATGGTCATGCGAGATCACCGACGTATTTTTATTGATAAAGGAATGACAAAAGAATGGAATCAATATTATAAATAATAAACGTTTAAAACGTTGTTTTAAAACAAGTTGTACACCTAATATATAAATTTATACTATACGTGTCTTATTGATATTAAAGGGGAATCATATTATTTTACATCGTCGAAAATTCGTCAAATATTTCTCATATTTCATGACGATTAGTATAGTTGTTATTAATCGTTGCATCATTTCGAAATACTTCATCAATGTTTTCGTCATGGTTTCTTGAACTTGGTTTTATTTTAGCCAAAATAATATTAAGCTTATAAACATTTTCGTTACTTTTGTTTCGTTTGATTTTTGCCGATCACTTTTCTATTCTTACATCAGGGCTTATTGATTTTCGTATTAACAGATGTTGAGGCAAGGATGGATTTTAATGTTCCTCAGCGTTGGAATAACAGCGCTTGCTCCTGCGCCTTATGAGACAGACGTAGAATCCTTGAGAAGTGCTCTAAATGCTGTGAAAAGAAAACAAATATCGTTGGAACCCACATCTCAAGAATATTACAATGATTTTCGTCCGCGAAAGTATCATCACGAAAGTGACGTCGAGAAAATGTTTGAAATGGAACGACAGAATGATCGAGTTCTACCAGATGAAAATGAAAAACTTGAATTTCTACCTAATGGTGAGAACAGTTTCATATCTAATAAATATTGCAAATTGACTAATCCTAATCGAAATTTCTACGTAGAAATGATTTTTGTCGAAAACTCATTATATTTTATTACTATAAACTTACAATTAGATATTTTATACGATGTTAATATCGTTATAATAAAGTTACAATGAGTCAATCGAAATGTAATACTCGTATTTTGTAATTTCTATTATGATTTCAGAGAACGGACAACTCGAAATGGTGGATGACGAATTTCAAGGAATGAACGACAAGATGCTTGAAAAGTCAATTCTCAATTATTTGATGAACGCACAGGAGCAGGTAAAATTAACTTTGATATAGAGATGGAAAAGCTTCTTAGGGTTATTAAATATATATATATATATATATATATTTAACTAGCTATTTATATAAGATATTAGCATCTTACAAGACAATAAATTAGCACAACAAATTAACACTAGCCAAATGTTGACAAAAATATCGACAAAAATATCGTTTCTTTAGGAACGTGTACCGTCGTCACTCTTTCGTGAACGTGAACGAAGTTCTAGCCGTAAAAGGGCTAACGCAAATGACGATATAGATTTTCGCGAAAGGGCGAATTTAATTTTAGAACAATTACGAAATAGCGATCCTTCTGTTTTAAAAGAACTTGAAGAAAATTATTTGGATGCACCAATTTTGGAAAAATATGAAATGAACCAAGGAAAGAAACTCTACGAGTTAGTATATTTAATATAATATATATGTTTATATAAATATTAGGTTGTTCGAAAAATAATTTCGTTTTGGGGGGGGGGGAAATGAAAGACAATTTTCTTATAATGAATAAATATTTTATTAAATTATATATTAGCCATTCTGGTTCTACACTTTTTGCCATATTTCTGGTAGTAGCATGATTCCACGCTCATAAAATTTTTGCTCTTTGCTGGCAAAAAACTGATCCAGGTGATTTTTGACCTCTTCATTTGAAGTAAAGGTTTTATCGTCCAAAAAATTTTGCAATGACCGGAACAAATAATAATCCGAAGGCGCCAGATCTGGAGAACATAGTGGTTGTGGCAGTGTATCCCATTCAAGCTGTAAAAGCTTTTGGCGAGTGACCAAACTTGTATGAGGTTTCGAATTATCTTGACTCAAAAAAAAACTCAAATCTCAAAAAAAAGCTCAAAAAAAAAAAACGATTCCTTTAAAATCCCACCAAACAGACAGCATCACCTTTTTTTGATGGATATTGGAAAATGGATCATTTTCGTGACATTTGAGAAGTGAATCACAGACATCAATGCGACGACACAAATTTCTCTCCGTGAGAATAGGGGGAACTCATATATCGAGCTTTGAAGTTAAACCCAGGCCTTTCAAGTGGTCATAAACAGTTGAATTCGATAAATTTAAGCTCTCACCGATCTCACGTGTTGTATTCGCCGATTTGCATCAACTAATGCCTTTATCGTGTCTTTATCAGCTTGTACTGGCCTTCCGGAACGTGGTGCATCTTCGACATCAAAATTGCCGGATGAAAATTTTGCAAACCAGTTCTGGCACTGGCATACTGTCAACACATCTTCTCCTTATACATCGGTTAATTTCTTTCTGGCTTGCACAGCATTTTTACCTTTTCTATAGTAAAAAAGTAAAATATGACGAAAATGCTGCTTATTGCTCTCCATATTTAAAAGGGCACCAACCAAAAACTACTGCGTAGAATTAATTGAACATTTTCACACACAAGCCTTGCTATATCAGCTCTCAAAACATATAATGATTATGCAGCTTAAGTGTGAAGTTGGGTTAGAAGAAATACAATTAAATCCTCTGTCGGGAAAAAACGAAATTATTTTCTGAACAACCCAATATTTAATATCATTATGACTATTGAAACCCATTAATTCGTTGTTATTGCATAACAGGAACGAAAGTCCGATGTCATGGAGTGAGCTTTTCGATAAAGAATACCAAGGGATACCAGGGGAGGGGGGAAGGAGAAACGGTGAGGAAAATGATTTCGCGAACAAAGATATGGAACAGAACATCCTTTATTTCTTGCCAACCGAACGAAGAAACGTAAACGCGAGATATCCTTTGGGTAGACAATTTGACAAATATCGGCGAACATTGAGTAAACGTTATCCGATAGCTAAAAGAAGCCCCAAAGAATTTCAACAGATGGAGAAACAAATAATGGATCCAAAGGTAAATTCTTTGTCAAATTGTGTACTGGATCAATTTATTAATCGATTTATATTTTGTCTAGGTTGCACAAGATTTAGGCGCATTATTCGGCACGCAATCCGCCCTTAAGACTCGTAATTATACACGAGCTCGTAATAACGATCATGATCACGATCATGACCACGATCACGATCACGAACACGACCACGACCATGACCACGAACACGAACACGAAAATGAAAATATGAAAAATCATATTATTCGCATCGATACATCGGAAACTCCTAAAGTAAAGCCTACTTCTAAAGGTCAAAAGGAAAACGTAACGAAAACGATCAATACATCAAATGGGAAGAGTATCGAAGTGAAGAAGAAGAGCGTCGATTGGTCTCAGTATTTTGGTATCGATCGTAGAAAGAAAAAGACTACATTCTTGGCCCGGCCAGATACACAAGATCAAGATGACGAGTGGATGTTGCAACGATACTATGAGGTATGTTTACCAAAATACGTTTACCAATGAATGTGACATTAGTTAATTTTTCAATAGAACATGGCCGAAAATTTGAAACATCCCGAAGAAGAATCCGAGACCGAAAGCAATGATAAAAAGGATAAAATCGAGCGTATGTATACGATGTTGAGTGACATCAGTATGGAATTGGAAAAGGTTTGTAAACAAACAAATTGCATCGATTATGCTATTTAATACAAGAATATTTAAATCATAGAATATTGTTCTATAAATGTTGACTTAATTAAATATGCACGGTATTGCGTTTAAGTTTGCCTAATAATATTATGAAATATTATTATATAGGTATATATGTTTTTTGATTAATCTTTATTATTCCTAGGAAAGGGATTACATCATGAACAAACTGGCAGCTGCATATTCGTACAAAAAAATTCGTAAGGCACTCGACGGACTACACAATATTCTTGCCATTCAGAAAGAAATTCAAAATAATTTAACTGACAACTTTCATAATAATGGGAATACTATGAAAAGTGAAAATAAGCGGATCAGCTTCAATGCAGGCACTAAAGAAGGTAGATCATGCAACATATACATAGAATCGTGATAATGAATAAAAGAAAAATGAAGCTATTAATATATTTTTATTATTTCTTGTTGATTTATTCAGTCTCGGACGAAAACAAGAAATGTCCTGATTTAGAGATAATTGAACGACATTGTAAGACTGCTTACAATTTTGCTGGGGATAATAATCAGATGTTTTACTTTCCATGCGTTACCTATCAAATATGTAAAGCTTGCGTATGTACACAACTTACCTAAATAGTTAAACGTAACTAATTCTCTTATTGCTATCTTTTGCTTATAATCGAGAGTTCTCATAGGATTTTATATAAAGGATATTAATATAAAGGTTTCATAAATAAATAAGTAGAATTTATTTCGACTTATACCTTATATAATTATTGATATATGAAATTATCAAATTTTCTTGCGGGTTACAGGTACCCAATGAAACAGAAGAGGAATGCTTAACGAGCTTCGCATTAGAAACGGCCAAAGCTTGCGACGCTATTGTTAAGGAGAAAGGAATTTATAAGGAGCTCCAATTCTGTATCGATACGGTCCTAAATTCAATGAAATTACAACCGAACATCGGTATTTCTGAACAATGTCGCGTCAACAAGGAATATTGTTTACGTCGATATCATTATCGTTATCGACATCGTTATCCAAGCTTTCCTTTTTATGTCGATTTCTTATTTAACAGGGGTTCCGATTTATCGCAAACGTCTGACTGATAAGAGATCATTCGAATCTCTCGTAGGTAGTCGTATTGCAAAGGTTGATAAATAAATCGACAGGCAGGCAGGCTGGCAGGCAGGCAGGCAGGCAGGCAAGCAGGCAGGTAGACTGGCAAGCAGGCAAGCAAAAGAAAAAAAAAAAATAACGCGTTCCCCATAATTACGTGCGCTCGAATCAAAACGCGGTCTATAAATCATCATCCTTCTATATTTTTAATCATCGTTCTAGGTCTTCCCTTCTAATCTTCCTCTCCCTTGTCTACAATGCGGTAGCGAACGTTTTAAGGATTCAAATATTATTTCAAATTTACAGTTTTTATTGAAACAGCACAAAAAATCATCTAATTCGTCGAAATCGATTCGAAAGCACGTCATTAGCACGTCATTAGCACATCATTATTTCATGAGCTCGCCTGATTATTGAGCTTTATTTTATGGATTTTACAATATTATATTTTATATTTTATAACATTATTGAGACGTACATATGTATATCGCTTTTAATACAACTACTTACTTCTTTTCTTGTTTTTTTTTTTCCTCTTTTCGTCGAGAGATGCTACTCGTCTGGACAATTAAGATTATTTTTTCATTTTAAAATATAATTATTTTAAAAAAGAAAGAAATCATGTAGGAATGATAAAGACAATAATTAATGACTAAAATTTATGACTATTTTGATGTACTGATCTTACATTATCATTTTTTATACGATTATTAACAAATCATTACAATAGAATTCTTCTTTAGAGCATAATGATAAGCCTTCATATATTACATATGTATTAGAAATCCGATCACAGTCCGGATGAGTAGCTCGAATGAAGATAGAATTGAATAATTTATTTTATGAATGTACAAAAAAGTAATTACTAATTAAATGCCGCTATTAATATAACAAATTTGGAACTCTTCCAAAATGCACTCTTATCAGCAATACAAATAGCAAGTATGAAAAAGATGCAGTCCAAATTCTGTATATGATTCCAACATCTATATTTTTGTCAACATGTATTTTATGGAAAAAAAAAAAAAAAAGAAAATCCCCCCAAAAACAAGGAAAATGAAAAATCTAAGATTTAATCTGTAACACAATACAAATCCTCTTATTTCTCATACTTATTATCAAACTGTTATCGATAAAGAATATAACAATATACATTAATGTCTATAATAAAAAATATTTAAGAATCAATAGTAAATATCGATTACGTTTTTATGCAGTTTTTGAACCCATCTCTTATCACAATTATATGTTTGCGTCGATGTTACAATTATATTTTATATATAAATATATATCTGTGTGTTAGTCCTATAATCTGAATATAATAAATATATTAAAACATATATGTGGGATTCCCCCTCTCCTGTCAGTCTTCCGAAAAGGTATCTAACAAATAAAAGGGAAGGAATTCCGCGATGTTGTCAATAGGTTGATACAGAAGTGAAATCTCTCTTCACGGATATGCAATATATTTAATATAAATGAAATAAAAATACAAAATAATGATATAACAAAACGTTTTCTCTGTTTGGCTAGTAAACGACGACTGCCTCTTACTTTTCTTTTTTTTAATTTACTTCTTTGGCGACACTCTCGCTATCGCTGTTCGACTGTTTATTTTAAATTGTTTATCTTTTGCCTGATTATACCCGATACTCTCTGGTCTACCCATGCTTCAGTGTTCCTCACTCATACTCTCACACTCTCACACCTCACATATACAGGGTGGCTCACCACATTTTACCACTTTGATTTACGTTTTTATTATAACGCGTAAAAGACAATGTTTCACATGGAGTTGAATGGCTTTAAAAGGGGCTCATACTGGTGGTACTTTTTTTTTTAGGTGGACGTGTCAAGGACATATGATATCATTAATGTTTTTTTAAACGGAATCATATATTTTTTAATGCATCATCTGATGCTCTTTCATATTATTTACAAAAAAGTATTAACCTATTTATGTAAAAAAATTATTACTTTAGGAGATATTTTAAGTTTTGTCTATTTACAAAAAAGATTCAATATGGCGACCATTTGCATCAGAACACTTTCTGAATCGAGAAATTAATGACTCCTTAACGTTTCTTAATGTATCTGATGTTATTTTCTTGCATTCATTGATGATACGATCCCTCATATCGGCTATTGTAGTCGGAGGCTCAGCGTAAACTTTATTTTTTAAGTAGCCCCATAAGAATAAGTCGAGGGGCGTTAGATCTGGTGATCTAACTGGAAAATGAATGGGCCCACCCCGTTCTATCCAACGATTTGGGAAGTGTTAGCCGCAGTTACGATAAATCCATCCGTTAGCTCTCGCGAAATCGAAAGACAAGCTGGAATTAGCCGCAAAAGCAATTTAAATACTCCACACGATCATGAGGGTTTTTTTAACCATCACTCAAATTTTCCACGCAATCTTATGATTCCATCCATAACCAAATATCCCATACAGTCATGAGGGTTTTTCAAACCATCACTTCAACTCTGCACGCAATCCCATGATTCCATCCATAATCAAATATCCCATACAGTCATGAGGGTTTTTTTAACCATTACTCACACTTTTTGTTTATCTTTCTTTGGACAACTACAAACTCTAACTAATAATTTACGACGTCCAAGTACTCCATTTATTAAAGAGCACATCTTCCATCATCATGTGAAAACAAGTTCTGTTGGTCTACGATGATTCATTCTGCCGGATGTGATACAACTATTTTTACAAAAGAATTGAAAGTATAATTGCACATATTGTGAACCAACCCTTCTGTGTTGTCTACGCAATGGTGTAATTACAGATAAATGATCGTTATTGTCTTTATACATGCTCGCGCTGGTTATAAACAATAAACAACATGTGTCACAAATCAATCCCCCATGATTTACGTCTTGATTGCTATTATTTGTCATAGCCATATGATGATTATGGCATCATCTATGTACACTGGATTATTTTTATATTGATCCAAACTAAATTGCATTGTAGTACGCAGCAGAAATAAGCCATCCACAGGTGGGTGTCCCATTTGAATCGTATATAGATAATGTTTCTTCCACATATGTACTTTTTTTAGAATCTGAGAGTAGTATATCAAATGTTTTGATGTATTTTGTTTTTAGGCAATTGCAATTGAAAATTAAGATGGCCTGGAAATTCTCTTCATTTGAAGGAATCACGTTACATCGTGAGTTGAACTGGTGTTAATGTTTATATCCCCCTCCGAAATATATTTTCTTCATTTGAATTATTTGTGGTCATGCGAAACAACTTTTCGTCTCGTATGTCTTCTCTACATCAAACATAGTTAATAAGAAGCCTTGTTCTCTGTAATAATTAGAAAAAAAAATTGAAAATATAACATTTCTGTAATAATGTTTATATTAATGGTTTCTAATGCCAGAGTTTAATTTTTAGTCTAAATTTAGCGTATAAATATGCATAGATTTCAATTATACAATAAATATTAAACAAAAAATTCATTATTATTATTATTATTATTATTATTATTATTATTATTATTAACTGCTGGCATTAGGAACTGGAAAGTTCATTGTAGCAAATACAAAAATCCGCCATTGTTCCCATGCAAAAGAAAAATATTTCAGTTGCATATTACAATACAAATTGGATATCATTATATTTATAAGAATGATTGAGCATATATATATATAGAAAAAATAATTCATGTTTTGTAATACAACAAACAACGATGATACTATTTCATTTGTGTTTAAGATAAATAACAATTGAAAAGATTAATACAAATAAAGATATAACAGACTATATGGTATCATTTCAATGTAACAAAGTTAGAAAGACATTCACTTGTTGTTGTTTCTTGGTATCGATAATAAAATATGAAAATTAAATAAATGCTGTATAAATGAACATGTAAGAAGGAATGTACAATATTCATTTTTTATTATTTAATATGTATTTACTGATTTATAAACCATTTTGATAGAAAAATTGTTTAATGTTTGATTGAATATAATATGTATGTCTTGTCTGAATTAAATGTAGTTCATCTTTTGTTGTTTTATGTATTGTAAGATAATTACATTAAATATTATCTCAATTTTTGTTTTATATATATGTGATTTTAACTATATATGTATGTGATCATTATTAATAAATATTTTGTGAAATGTTTATATGCGCGCAATTTAGGTCAATGGATTACGACGCAATTACTTACTCTGCTTCTTGCCATATATATGACAAGGATTCAATATATCCTCGTCGATCCGAAGTCTGATCCTCTCTCTCCCTCTCTCTCTCTCTCTCTCTCTCTCTCTCTCTCTCTCTCTCTCTCTCTCTCTCTCTCTGTGTATAGACGTCATATTCATTTAAATTTAACATTATTATATTAAACACATATATATTTTTGTCTATTTTGCACCTCACAATAATACGCACATACAGATTAAGAGGTAAACTTAATAATTTTGTTAGAAGAAGAAGAAGAAGAATAAGTAATTATTATAATACTATTGAAATATACTTTCTTTTATTAAATAAAAATCCGATCTAGGTTTCATTTGTTTTTAATCAATTAATAAAAATATATTGTGGGTAATGTATATTTTATTAATGATTGGTAAAATGTGTATCATTATCTAGCAGCGGTACAAGCTATTATTACTTCATTGTACCGACTAGTAAAATTATGCTGTTGTATCTAATGATGGAAAATTTGTAATTCAGTTACCGACTGGTAGACAATATATTTAATTCAGTTACCGACAGGTAGAGAATATGTTTCGTTATCTAGACGAAAGATAGCACATCGTGCTGAGGACAAAATCAAAATGGCTACCTTCCGTGTCGTGTACTGCCACGTGCAGTAAAGTTAAGTATTTTATTACAAAAAATGCAATAGTGATGCAATAATTAAGTGAATAATATTGTTTTTATTTATAATATTTCAGTTCATATTCTATTTTTTTTGTAGTAATCGCCAACTGTGGATGAAAATAGTAAGAAATTGGATGTATTGCTGTGTGGTACAATAGTATTACGTCATAACCGAATTTACTGTTCTACGTATGTAATATACTATTTTTTATTTGTTGTCAATTAATACATTTGCAATACATATTATTGCGAAGATTATACAAATTTAACAACAAGCAATGAGTGCAGTGATGAACATCCTGATGGGGGTGTGGGGGCGAAGCCCCCCCCCATCTCATAACTAAATTTAAATGTGAAAATAAAATAAAATATAAAAGAAGTTAAAAAGAAATTTAAATATAAAAATGAATAATCAAAATATGGTTGGTTAAGCTATCTGTTTTTCATATATATATATATATATTTCATATACATTTTTTATCCAATCTCTAACTATAACTTTTAAAATTGTTTCAGAACAAAACATACACACGCAGAAGGCTGACCACAATTTAAGAATGAAATGCAAAAAAAATAGAGAATAATGGCAATTGGAGCTAGAAACAGGAGTGTTGTGGAATCTACAAAAAAAGGATTTCTTGTATAAACTGTTGTGCTGCGACTTATCATCGTCGACTGTATCGACATATAATTTTATATAAATGAACGGGGTGATTAATTGGATCAAAGAAAATGTAAAATCAGAAAGGAATTTGCCTCGACTGTGTCTTTTATGTTAGATCATCATCATCA